ATCTGCTGATCTCAGATCCTCCAGCCAAATTGCCAATACAGTGGAATCACTGTTCCAGAGCAACTCCTTTACCTAGTTGACAATAAAACCCAAGGCAGTGAGTGTGTGGATTATGAAGTGTGGTGCATCATCTGATGAGAATGTATGCAAAATTGAACACTGAGACAGAACAAAAAGAAGAGCCTGCACAGTTTGTCAGCTAATTTCAACCAAACGTGTACAGGTCCAATTCTAACCAAAAGCTGAGAACAGGTTAGATGCAGTGCCTTACTCATTTGTGCAGGAACCACAAAACAATCCAAATGAAGACATTGATTTCAGAAATGCCTCCACCATAAACTTTATTTTGTTTCAATAAATTCTATATATAGATTCATATGCAACTACTTTTCTGCTATTGCAAGAAACCCAATTACTGATGCCCGAGTTCAGGTCTTGTAACTCACCATTTGCCCTTCAATCCTGACTTCCCGTAAAGTAACTTACTGGAGCAGTAGTTTTTAATACAAAGGAGTTGGTGTTTGGGATAAAAAAGCTTAAAATAAAATATTTTGCAACCAGCTCCAAAATTACTGCATTAATAAGAGGACCAACAAGTAACTTCAAAACACCAAGATTTCTCTGAAAATAAGCAGAGAAAGAAAATGTTCAGCTAATAATAGATAAGAGTGGAGGCCCATTATAATATGGTGGTTGGGATACGTAAAACTGCAACCCATGTTGCAGCGAAGCAGAATAGTTAGTTTCACTGCACATGCGTGACTGGCTGAATTCCAGTTTACATGGTTATAAAAGCTGACTTCTGGGTCATCAGATCACTTCCTGTATGCTGTATATGTGCAAAGCAAGAAATTATGTCAGTGGCAACCTGATGTCAGCTATTTTAGCACGAGAAGTGGCTGTGCACATGCCAGTGAATGGGAACACTTCAACTGTATTTCAACCAAATCCGAATTGTAAAGAAGCAATTATTAATTGATCTGCACTGTATTAGCAAACCAGATACTCAATTAATAAGCACAATGTGAAATAACCCAGACCTGAAGTTTTGTATCTTTCATATTACTATAAAAATACCATGGCCGAAATATCTGAACAGCTATATCTTAATGACTTCAAAACGTAAAGAGACTTGATGGCTCAGTGGGAAAACGCTGAGTTACACAAAAATAAGGAAGTCTTAGATTCAATCTTTGGTCTATGCTCAATTAACCCAATTGCACATTATAAATGGAAACTGAAGCTTCCCAATGACGAATGGATGCTTTAGGAAAGATACTGAAGGAAAAAAAGAGGCAAAATAAAGGCTTGGGTCACTTGCCTTAACTTGATCCTTGTCAAAAGGAAGTGAAAATTCCCCATGTACCAAACCATTCCGCTCGAAAAACACAACATTGTGCTTGTTAGGCTTGCGCTGGGTCGATGCAATCAAACTCCCGGATGGTCTAGGAGAGGAATGATTATTTGAAAATGGACACACTCTGCAACATAATCTCCCACCTCACATTTTCGTCCACAAAATATATTCTGTGAAGCGATTTGAGACATCTCAAAGACTTGATAAAATGCTATATCAAATGCAAGGAATATTATTATATTCACATCTGAAACACGATTTTCATTCAGAACTAATATATGTATCATTCGCTGAAACACTTTAACAGGACAAATCATTTTTAATCTTTTAAACAAATTCTACTAAAGGGCCAGACATATAGCCTATATATAGCTGCACTGCACTAGGCCACACAGCCTAGGTTGAAACTCAGACTACACTGTTAGTTGATCCCAGCATAGACAGCTGGCAGGATGCTACAATTAATCTTAGCACCTCTACAATAGTGAAGGAAAACAAAACGTCAGGTTTCATCCCGAGATACTAGCTGGAAAGTGCGTGTTTGGAGAGGACAGATCACGAATGAATATAATGGCTATTTGGAGGAAGATATCATGTGACCATACTCCTGCAGAAAAAAAAACAATGAAAACACATTCAGGAGGGAAGAAATCTAAAGAATTCTCTCCTGAATACGTTCATAAACACAAATAACCTAACTAAGTTTACACTTTAACCAGCTTCATGAATGACAAATCCCTCTATTAGGAAACAATCCTATCCATTTTAAGGTCCCTCCATACCAAGCACTATGCCCGAGACCAAACATGAGCCTGCAACCCACTCTCTGTTCTACAAGCACTATAATTTCAGACAGCCCCCAGTAAACATGCTAGAGGCATACTTTTCATCCTTCTTAGTGGATATATTCTTCTGGTTCAATTTCTCACCTGCCTCCAATATTTTTGCTGACATCAGGATCACTGACATAACCTCAGAAACTATCCGTCAACAGGGGAGTCAACTTATTATTTGCTAAATGAAGCATACATATTTGACAGGGGCAAATATATTTACTTCTATAGTGGACAAGCTACAACGCAAAAGAAAATGTATAAGTGGAGAGACTAGATTTGTTTACTGGCCTTTTTTATATATAAAAGATGTTGCCAATTTGGGATAGTAATTAGCTAGCCACCAGCAAATCTGGTCACAAACCAGATTAACACAAAGTCTACTGTTTAGGAATGTTGTAAAATAAACCCCATTTTGTGCATTAAAATACATAATTGCTACACCTTCCAGCATATCTCGTAAATTCAAACGTTTCAGGCTGTAAAATTCCTTGAGACATCCTCGTGTTATGAAAGGTGTTATATCAAATGCAAGCATTAAATTCCCTTGTGAGCCTGTTCTCTTCATCAAACGTGTGGCAGCCAGCAATCTACACAGGGCCTCTTCTGTATGGATTGATTATTATTGGGGAATGGAAGCTGTTGGTCCCATCATCGACATACAGAGATACAACAAGGAATAAACTGATTCGACAAAAACACTCACTTCCAGCACAGGGCCTGCTCAAGTCCATTGACAGGTTCATTTGTTGACTGAAGTACACCTTCCCTATTCCATACTCGCACTTTTCTGGCTCCTAGAAATTGAATTCAAAGCTGTTACAGTCATATCCTCAGAGATGATTATTGCTCATAGGTAACTGGAAAAAAAGCCTACACAAAATGTCCACTCTAGGCTTCCCAAACAAGAGCAGATTTTATTACATTGTTGGGAGAAAACGGTATCAATATAAAGTGTATTTTAGGGTTATGATAAAACAGATTTTTCTCTTTTGTATTAATCCATATGTTTGACAGTGAATTATGAATAGTCATCAAGATGCTGAAGGAAGTATCAATATAGTACTCGCAGATGGTGCACGTTGGAGTAATCGGTTATATGAGAGGTTGTCATCAATGAATCAGGACGATAGTCAGACGGAATCTCAAGAGAGGCAATTAGAAGAAATAGAGAAACATTAGCTAGGGTAACAGACACATGTGTGCTCAAAACCTTCATACGTTGGCAAAAGGAGGGAAAACGGGAGAAAACAAGGTAATAATCTTGGTTCAGTATACTTGTCATAGTCAGGAGGTTGTTCATCATAACTAAACAGATTGGTATGAGCTAATGAGTAAGAAAGAGAGAAGCAAGCTGGTAAAATAGAGATTAGGAGACAGATGTATCCTTGATACATCAAGGTTGAAACCAACCTCATGGACCTCTTACATGAACAGGACCTAAGGGAGGTAACTGGACAAAGGGCATATTTTAGATAAGGAGAGAGGTGCAGAATTTGGGAAAAACAACCCCAGATACCCTATAAAGGTGTAAGAGAAAGAGAGAAGTAGTGTAGAAGATTGAAGACCACATTGACACCATAAGAAAAATTAGACAGCGAGTATTCTTCAGCTTGCTCAAGATACAGAAGGACGAGACAGAGACGGAAACAGAGAGCGAGAGAGAGAGAGAGACATCCTGCTAATGAAACAAAGTTAAACTGGTAGTATGAGTTTATTCTTTAGCATGTATAAGTAAATGCCCAGGCATACTACTTAAACAAATCACAATATACTCAACACTGTACTTTCCAATTATTGCTTGATTACCGTATGTTACTTATTAAATTACTCATATACTTTATCATTTAATCATTGTGAATTAAAGCAACAACTTTACCACGCCATATTTGTTTTTTGTCGAGTTCTTGTTTCGAACTCTGGGATTTGAATTCCCAACAACACGAAAGACAGCAGCAGGTAAATCGGAGGTTCTGGTGTGGGATATTATTGACGTTTATGATAACTCACTTCAGCAGAATACAAGTAATGCTCTCAGCCTTCAAGATGGTGTTTAAACGTAACTGTAATGTCAGCCACATACCAGACACTGGACAAATGGCACCAATTGCAAAAAGCTGTCCGTCCCCTCTCCAAGTCACTCGGGGTCTCTGATCGTCCCAAGCCACAGCCGACTGGACCTCCTGCCGACAAGGGAAAGAAATAGTCACAGTAACATCATATTTCTGATATGTGAAAAGTTAGCATTTATACAGAACCCCAGAAAGAAAGATGTATAAATTTCATTTAAATATAGTCTTTACTTTCTCGAACATACATTCTTTTACAGCCAAGAGGACAAGATGTTCCACATAAATATAGGGAAACTCCATCTCTCCCCTCTTTCAAGGCCCGTCTCAAGATTTAGCTCTTTGATCATGCTTTTGGTCCTCTATCCCCTTCCCACCTCCCCTGGTCCCCATCCCCAGCACAGGTAACCAGCCAGCAGTGTCAAGCCTTTTGAGATGTCCTCCTGAATTGAAAGGTGCTATATAAATATAAATTGTATTGAATAGAACCATTCAATAGTGTTTCCTATCTGCCTGTTCTGGTGGACATTAAAGAAACCATAACACCACTTAAAAAGAAAAAGGATTTTCTCCGGGTCAACAATCCTGGCTGCTTGTGGGATTTTATTGGTGCAAATGGCTCCCGGTTTTGGTTATAAAACTATTCAACACACTTGAAAACATTTGGATGTGAAAGGTTTTGAGACATTTTGGAATGAGGGAAAAACAACGTGTGTGCAATGCTAAAGATTCTCAACCCACTTACCACCTGCTTACGATGAGCTGCTTGTTTACCCTCCGATCCATGGAACTGTGTTTCCTTCTTTCCCCAGCCAACAGTGATGAATTTTCCTAGGAAAAATACAAGAATGCAATATACTCTTACATAATTTAATAACTGGATGCATTTTTGGGGAGGAGAGGATAGTGAAGAGATTACTTCCCTTTCTGTGGTTCACTTCACAAAAAAAGTACTCGACTTAAAACAAAAATATAGATTAAAGAATAGCCAGGTGTTGGGCTGGCTCAGTTGGCAGCTTTCTCGCTTACTGGGTCTGAAGTTGTGGATTTAAGCCTAAAATCAGGAATTTGTGCTTAGACTAGACTGGAGAAGTGCTGCATTGTGAGATTAGACATCAGACTGAGATCCTGCCACCTGCTCAGGTGGATGTTGAAGATCTCTTGATACTATTCCAAAAGATAAAAAGGGAGTTTCTTCCAGTGTCCTGGACAACAGATAAAATTGGTCATGACTGCTGAAAGGCAAGTGAAAGGTGCTATACAAATGTAACTTGTATTGAATAGTGCCTTTCAACACAGTGTTTCCTACCTATATGTTCAGGTGGACGTTAAAGAAACCATAACACTATTCAAAAAAAGAGTTTTTCCTGGTCTCCTAGTCAACAATCCTCCAGTTAAACGGACCATTCAGCCCCTGGATGTCTGTGGGATCTTGCTGTGAGTAAAACAATTGCTGCAATCGCCTACAAATACACTTTGTCACTACACTTTACACAAATGACCTATTATACAACATTATAGGCAATGTATCAAATAAAACGATTATTATTAACTACCATTCTTCACAGCTAAGTGGACTCACCTTCACCAAAGTCATCCTGATGGATTCTTACTTCAGTAATTGGGTCAAAATCTTTGGTCATCATTATGATGGTCTCCTGTCCTACACAAACAAACAATAATGAACAGAATAATCCAGACTGTTTTTATAGACCCAGCAGTGCCAGTTCAAGGTTAAGGCACAGGCAACAAAGATGATATAATAATATTCACGAATCAAACCAAATCACTTAAGAGTTTAATCAATCCATTTCAAACCAAACACAAGGACATCAGAAGGAATCATAGGTAATTGATTTTCCTAAAACAAAGAATTGTAATCATTTTTATATTAGTATTCTGAGCTGTTTGTAAGACAATAGCCTGGATAGACTATGAGTGTTGTGTCACCCAGACAGGAAAGTGCGGGTTCAAAACCCAATCTGCACTGATTTGATTGACTAAAGGTTCCCAGGTTCATTCTGGTCTATGCTGATATCAGACAGGCAGCTGGAGGTGGAAAATAACCCAGGTTCTGATCGCTCTCCAGTGAGCCAAGCTGACAATGCACATGTGTGGATATCAGGTAAGATCAGGATTGGCTTTCACTATGATACCTCCATGGGGTACAGCATAGTTTGCTGGATTCACACACAAAGAATGGGAGAGACAACACCCCTCAGGAGAGGAAGTGGGGAGAATTGTTTCTGAAAGTTGATTTTCAGTCATAATGACCACAGTCACATAGTAATCTACAATCTGACACATTTACCTGTGGTGAGTATAACAAGCTCCTGGTCTGGACTCCAGCTCATCCCAGTCAGCCCACTCTCGACACTTCCTACACACTCCAACTATCAGAAACAAAACATTTCTGCAGTTAGAAGAAACAGTATCATTGTGAGATCCTGCTCGCCAGGTCATTATTGGTGGGTCTCTGCTGTCATATCTGACCAAGTAACAGCAGGGTGGACAGGAGCCACAGAACAGTGGATCACATGTTACTTTCCCCAGGCCGTCAGAGTGGCTGTGTAACAGCAATATCCCGTCGACTTCCCAGGGTATGAAACACTGTAAGGCCTCAGCTAGAGTACGGTGTTCAGTTCTGGGGCACCACACTTTAGGAAGGATGTCAAGGTATTGGAGAGGGTGCAAAGGATGGTACCAGGAATGAGGGATTTCAGTTATCAGGAGAGGCTACAGAAGCTCGGGTTATTCTCCTTGGAGCAGAGAAGGTTAAGAGGAGACTTAATAGAAATTTTCAAAATTATGAGGAGATTTGATAGGGTGAACAAGGAGAAACTATTTTCACTGGCGGGTGGGTCGGTAACCCGAGGACACCGATATAAAATAGTTGTTAAAAGAAACAGAGGGGAGGTGAGGAGAAATTTTTTTCACAGAGTTGTTCGGATCTGGAATGCATTGCCTGAAAGGGTGGTGGAAGCCGATTGAATAACAACTTTTAAGAGAGTAGATAATTATATGGGGAGGACAAGTTTGCAGGGCGATAGGGAGAGAGTGAGGTAATGGGAACAACTTCGACAGCTCTTTTGAAAGAGCCAGCACAAACACGATGGGCTGAATGGCCTCCTTCTGTGCTGTATAATTCTATGATTCTGTGATGAAAGGCTATGGGTACTGAACATAAGGGTTTTAAACTGAGGAAGTGCACCACCTCAGTGCAATAATAAAGATTGTTTTACTTTGGGCCAGCCAGTCACTGCTGAGTAAAGCTGTGCAATTTATAAGGTATGCTAATACTGTATTTAATTATACGAAAGTAACTAAATTATACAAAAGGATTTTCCTGTACCTTATAGAAAATTTAACATTTTTCATTTCACACTGAAACTGGAGAAGTGACAGAAAAGAAAACAAGCTAGGAGTCACAGCTATAGAGACAACGAAGATAATCATACTAAGCTGTTACATGATTTAAGTGCTACCTAGGTGCCACCTAATACAATAAACAATGAACAGATTCATTCTGACAGACTGTCATCATGTTGTCATCTTTGCACCAAACATGAGGGGACCAGGGTCAGCACTAGGCTGTCGGATGAGGTTATTGGCTGGAGACAGCAAAACAGCAAGGGTTCCTTATGATGTCGGAAGCACCATTTGCCAATCTGCAATACGAATGTAATCAAACCATCTACTCCTTTGGCTTTAAGTATTCAGATGTGCAAGTGCTCTTCAATTTTTCCTCCTCCTAGGTTTGAGCTCAGGAAGCTCGCTACATGGAGCCTGGTACACAAAAATCTGCTTTTTAAGATATCAATGGCGCAGCATGTCTGTGCACAAACATGCTGTTTCACTGCACTTCACTGAAACCAAGACCATCATTCAGCACAGAAGGAGGTCACTCGGGCCATCATGTCTGTGCCGCCTCTTTGAAAAGAGCTATCCAAATCAGTCCCATTCCCCCAGGGAAGGCTTTTGATTACATAGAGAACAAATGTCTGGGATGGGTTACAAAAGGCTGTAACAAGGTAGGTTTAGAGAACATCGCAAACAAGAATCAGAGTCCGTGAAACCTAAGGGTTAATTGAACTCCATCTCAGCCTTTGAAAATTTCATCACGGCATTTCATGACCAGTACTGTCATATTGAGGCCATTACAGTAACAAGCTAAAGCATTCAGGAAATAAAATGTGATTTTCAACTGATAATTTCGTCCCCAATGCCCAATAATTAGAAATATCACACAATAAGATATCTTACCTGATTGTTGGTTACGTTATAAAGTATAACATCCCCTGAGGAGGTGGCCACACACACAGATTCCTGGTCTGGCAGATCCTGGATACCAACAATACAGCCAGTACCATCTTCAGGGAGATAAGCTTCCCCAACCAGGGACACCTCATTGACCACCTGAGAGGAAAACATGAAGATAACTTGAATCAAAGCCACTAGGAACAATTTTCATCAACTCAGGGTTAGGGTGAATTAAAACAGACCATTTATTGAGAATCAAAGACTAAAGTGAGGAATTACAAAACAAATACTAATTTCTGGAATAACCCTGGTGGCAGAAAGTGCCCAAAAACAAGTTCAAGATGTTGAAAGAAATAATGTTATAAAGAGAGTATTTCTTTCTTTTTTATTGGTTGAATTTAGTTGATAACAAAAGACGTACTTATAAATCATTGCGCACCATCTGCTAATCTCAAGACTCAAAATATTTCAAGTGGTCATTCACTATTATGGACACTGATGTGCACAAATTGACTGCTGCTTTCGTCTACAAATACACAGTTAATACACTTTAGAGCAATTACTTGTGAAGCACTTATAGAGTTGCAACATTATAGGCTCTGTATCAAAATCCAAAGATTATTATTAATAAGGCTAAGACTATGTGAAATTTCTGAAATATAAACGTCAACGTCCACACCTGTTCAGTCTGTGGGTCTAGTTCGGTGATTCCAAGGTTGGATCCCACAAGTACAGTCCCTGTATCGGTGCGTACAGACAGACACTGAGGTTTTCCGAGCCCGTGCAGCGCATTACTGCATAGGCTCCTCAGCAACTTCAAATTACGCATGGCAGGTATTGCAACAGCTTGCTGGATGAGCAGAGAGAAACATGAAGCAAATTAACGACCAGATTCAGAAACAGATCCACCAGTTAAAAGTTTATAATAATAATCCCTCCAAAACCAAAAACAATAATTAAATTGGTCATTTTCAATCTATGACTGTTTGCTGTGCGCAATTGGCTGCCGCGTTCGCCCACAAATATACAGTCAACTCACTTTACAGTATATTCTGTGAAGCGCTTTGGGACGTCCTCCCGACGTGAAAAGCGCTATATCAAATGCAAGGATTATTATTATTATTATTATTATTATTATAATGTGTATCCTGTAGCTCGGCGATTAGAGCACTCGCCTCGCAAGCGAGAGACCTGGGTTCAATTCCCTGCGGGGCCAAACCTTGGGCGAGTTTCCTTATTCCACACGCCCGATAATAATCCCTCAAAATAAAAGAAAAACAATAAATTGGGTCACTTCAACCCACGGCTGTTTGCGGAGACACTGCTGCGCGCAATCGGCTGTGCCGCGCTTCGCCCGCAAATATACACACAGCCAATTCACTTTTTTACAGTGCGTTCCGTGAAGCGCTTTGGGACGTCCTCCCGACGTGAAGAGCGCTATATCAAATGCAAAGGATTATTATTATTATTATTATTATTATCATTATTCTGTGAAGCGCTTTGAGACGACAAGAAGACGCGACGCGATATCAAAGGCGAAGATTATTACTGTTACTATATTATTACCCGATGACTGACTGTGTAGTTTGTGGGCGACACTGTAATAACAAGACCCTGACCCTGACCCCCCCCCACCCTCTGCCCCCCCTCTGCCCCCCTCTGCCCCCACAGACCCCACAGACCCCACTCACCCCCACAGTGGGAATCAGCACAAACGGCGTTACACCCCCACACCACCCGCACCCCCTGACCGCCCGCCAGGAGCTGCCCAGGGCCCTGACAGGGGTCCCCCCCACACCCTGACCCACCTCCCCGAGGTGACCCCCTCACCCCCCGCGGCCGCCGACTCTCGGGGTGACCGTCTCCCCCTCTCTCTCTCTCTCTGTCTCTCTCTCTCTCACGTGTTGGCTCCTCGCCACCGCACCGCAGCCTCCGCTGCCCCGGCCCCAGGCCCTGCGCCCCCTACTGCCGGGAGGCCTCCAGCACAGCCCCTCCGCGCACCGTCGGGGGAGACTCTCTTGACCCCCAACAACAACAACTTACCATTTACGCCTCTCCACGTCAGGATGGGGCGGGGGGGGGGAGTGGGGGGAGTGGAGGGGGGTCCCGCGGTGCTGGACGGTTCAGGGTCTGCACCCGGGGTGGGGGTTGGAGCCAAGAGGGGCGGAGGGCGGAGGCGGGAGGATGACCGGAGGCACGGTCGAAGGAGGAAGGTGCTCCGGCCCGGGCGAGGGCGGCGAGGGGGGCGAGGGGGGTGAGGGCGGCGATGGCGGCGAGGGCAGGCGAGGGGCGGGCGAGGGGCGGTGAGGGCGGCGAGGGCAGGCGAGGGGCGGCGAGGGCGGCGAGGGGGGAGCGAGGGCGGCGAGGGGGGAGCGAGGGCGGTGAGGGCAGGCGAGGGGCGGCGAGGGCGGCGAGGGGGGAGCGAGGGGCGGCGAGGGGGGAGCGGAGGGCGGCGAGGGGCGGGAGGGGGGGGGGGGTGAGGGCGGCGATGGCGGCGAGGGCAGGCGAGGGGCGGCGAGGGGCGGTGAGGGCGGCGAGGGCAGGCGAGGGCGGCGAGGGCGGCGAGGGGGGCGAGGGCGGCGAGGGGGAGTGAGGGCGGCGAGGGGGCGAGGGGGGTGAGGGCGGCGATGGCGGCGAGGGCAGGCGAGGGGCGGGCGAGGGGCGGTGAGGGCGGCGAGGGCAGGCGAGGGGCGGCGAGGGCGGCGAGGGGGGGCGAGGGCGGCGAGGGGGGAGCGAGGGCGGGAGGGCAGGCGAGGGGCGGCGAGGGCGGCGAGGGGGGAGCGAGGGCGGCGAGGGGGGGCGAGGGCGGCGAGGGGGCGAGGGGGGGTGAGGGCGGCGATGGCGGCGAGGGCAGGCGAGGGGCGGGCGAGGGGCGGTGAGGGCGGCGAGGGCAGGCGAGGGGCGGCGAGGGCGGCGAGGGGGGAGCGAGGGCGGCGAGGGGGGAGGAGGGCGGTGAGGGCAGGCGAGGGGCGGCGAGGGCGGCGAGGGGGGCGAGGGCGGCGAGGGGGAGCGAGGGCGGTGAGGGCAGGCGAGGGCGGCGAGGCGGCGAGGGGGGCGAGGGCGGCGAGGGGGGCGAGGGCGGCGAGGGGGGCGAGGGGGGTGAGGGCGGCGATGGCGGCGAGGGCAGGCGAGGGGCGGGCGAGGGGCGGTGAGGGCGGCGAGGGCAGGCGAGGGGCGGCGAGGGCGGCGAGGGGGAGCGAGGGCGGCGAGGGGGGAGTGAGGGCGGCGAGGGGGGCGAGGGCAGGCGAGGGCAGGCGAGGGGCGGCGAGGGCGGCGAGGGGGGAGCGAGGGCGGCGAGGGGGCGAGGGGGGTGAGGGCGGCGATGGCGGCGAGGGCAGGCGAGGGCGGGCGAGGGGCGGTGAGGGCGGCGAGGGCAGGCGAGGGGCGGCGAGGGCGGCGAGGGGGGAGCGAGGGCGGCGAGGGGGAGCGAGGCGGTGAGGGCAGGCGAGGGGCGGCGAGGGCGGCGAGGGCAGGCGAGGGGCGGCGAGGGCGGCGAGGGGGGAGCGAGGCGGCGAGGGGGCGAGGGGGGTGAGGGCGGCGATGGCGGCGAGGGCAGGCGAGGGGCGGGCGAGGGGCGGTGAGGGCGGCGAGGGCAGGCGAGGGGCGGCGAGGGCGGCGAGGGGGGAGCGAGGGCGGCGAGGGGGGCGAGGGGCGGTGAGGGCGGCGAGGGCGGCGAGGGCAGGCGAGGGGCGGGCGAGGGGCGGTGAGGGCGGCGAGGGCAGGCGAGGGGCGGCGAGGGCGGCGAGGGGGGAGCGAGGGCGGCGAGGGGGGAGCGAGGGCGGTGAGGGCAGGCGAGGGGCGGCGAGGGGCGGTGAGGGCGGTGAGGGGGGGGGGGCGAGGGGCGGTGAAGGCGGGCGAGGGGGGCGAGGGCGGGCGAGGGGCGGTGAGGGCGGCGAGGGGGGCGAGGGGGCGAGGGCGGTGAGGGAGCGAGGGCGGTGAGGGGGGGCGAGGGCGGCGAGGGGGCGAGGGCAGGCGAGGGCGGTGAGGGGGGCGAGGGCGGGCGAGGGGGCGAGGGGCGGTGAGGGCGGGCGAGGGGGGCGAGGGGGGGCGAGGGCGGGCGAGGGGCGGTGAGGGCGGTGAGGGGGGCGAGGGGGGCGAGGGGGGCGAGGGGGGCGAGGGGGGCGAGGGGGCGAGGGCAGGCGAGGGCAGGCGAGGGGGGGCGAGGGGCGGTGAGGGCGGCGAGGGCAGGCGAGGGGCGGCGAGGGCGGCGAGGGGGGGCGAGGGCGGCGAGGGGGGCGAGGGGGGGAGGCGGCGATGGCGGCGAGGGAGGCGAGGGGCGGGCGAGGGGCGGTGAGGGCGGCGAGGGCGGCGAGGGGCGGCGAGGGCGGCGAGGGGGGCGAGGGCGGCGAGGGGGGAGCGAGGGCGGCGAGGGGGCGAGGGCGGCGAGGGCAGGCGAGGGGGGCGAGGGGGGGGGCGAGGGCAGGCGAGGGGCGGCGAGGGGCGGCGAGGGGGGGCGAGGGGCGAGGGCGGTGAGGGCAGGCGAGGGGCGGCGAGGGGCGGTGAGGGCGGTGAGGGGGGGGGGGGGGGGGCGGGGGGGGCGAGGGGGCGAGGGGGGCGAGGGCGGGGGGCGGTGAGGGCGGCGAGGGGGCGGGGGGGCGAGGGCGGTGAGGGGGCGAGGGCGGTGAGGGGGGGCGAGGGCGGCGAGGGGGGCGAGGGGGGGGGGCGGTGAGGGGGCGGGGGGGGGGGGCGGTGAGGGCGGGGGGGGGGCGAGGGGGGGCGAGGGGGGCGAGGGGCGGTGAGGGGGTGAGGGGGCGAGGGGGGCGAAGGGGGCGAGGGGGGCGAAGGGGGCGAGGGGGGCGAGGGGGCGAGGGGGGGAGGGGGGGTGAGGGGGGGGGGGGGCGAGGGGGCGAGGGCGGTGAGGGGGGGGCGAGGGGGCGAGGGGGGGGGGGCGAGGGGGGCGAGGGGGCGGGGGGCGAGGGCGGTGAGGGGGTGAGGGCGGGCGAGGCGGTGGGGGGGTGAGGACGGTGAGGGGGCGAGGGCGGGCGAGGGCGGGCGAGTGAGGGGGGGCGAGGCTCTGGAGGATGAGGGGTCTGAAAGCTCGACTGCTGCCGGTGGGGCGGGCGGGCGGGGGGGGCGGGGGCCACGGAGCAGGCCGGGCCGGTGCCCGCGGATCATAGGGAGTGGCAACAACGACAAATTGCCTCCTTTCACGGCAGGAGGACCTGCCAAGGCGCTGGGCCGTCGAGGATTTGGACGCCAGCCGGGCGTTGGGATCAGGAGGGGCGGAGGTGAGGGGCAGGAGGGTGACCGAAGGCACAGTGGAAGAGGAGGGTCTTGAGACGGGCCTCGAAGGCGGCAACGGAGGGAGCGAGGAGAAGGGACTGGGGTGGAGTTCCAAAGGGAGGGGCAGAGAGGCTGATGGTGGGGCAGGCAGGTGGGGTGGGGTGAAGCCGGCCAGTACCTGCTGCCACACGGTGCGGACAGGTTGGTATAGTTTTAGTGGTGCCCCTCACGCAGGGCAGCATCCCAGAGAGCTTAAGTACAGTCACTACATTTTACATCCTTTACATGCTATATTTACCAGATGTAAGTTAGGATTATTATTAACCCTCTACGGCATTAATAATAATAAACACTGTATTGAATAATAATAGTATTGTAGTTTATGGGAATGGATCCTTCCTATAAATTAATGTCCCCTCCCTGTGGTTTTGGCGGCTGACAACTGTCTATAATGACAGGGGCTGAGATCAATAGTTCAGGTCTAATAATTACAAAACATTGTATTGTCACCACATTTGTTTTTTTTTGTTACCTATATATCTGAAGCAAGTGATAGACAAATGTTGCATATTATGATACCTTATCAGAAGCAGCCAGAAGTGAGTTTTAAAATAATAATAATAATAATCCTTGCATATTGTGTCATTGAGAGGGCTCAAAGCACTTCATAGAATATATCGTAAAGTATTCTGTGGGTGAAACGTGACAGCCAATTGAGCATAGCAGTGAATTGTGAACGGATTATTACCTCCTGAAAGCGATCCGTCAATCGACTAACAACCGGGTTCCTAGGTTCCTACTTACTGCCAGTTAAACAGAGGCAAGTGGAGTAAGGAAAATTGTGCGCGCACTATTCATTCCACTCAGGGATTCCACAATCTGACTGATCAGAATTGGGAAACTTTTGAAAATGTATTAAATCTAAACCTAATTCAGAACAGCAAGCTAATGTGTTAACCTAAAAAAAGGCAGATGCTGGAAACCTGAAATAAAAACAGACGTAGCTGGGAACACTCTGATGAAAGATTATTTACCAGAAACGTTAACTCACTTTCCTCTCTCCATAGATGCTGCCTGACCTGCTGAGTGTTTCTGGTGACTTCTGTTTTTATTTTATATTAATGTGTTAACCTTTCTTTTTCAAATGCAGATTGATCCCTTGTGGATGTCCTGCGTTTCTGCTTCGGATTTCCAAAACTGTTATTCATTTTCCAAATACTGCACAATATAAAAAACATCAAAAAACCAAACCCAATAGACCAGGAAGGGAGGCTCAGTTCTGAGCCTAGAATCCTATACAAACATCAGTTACTGCATTTAGTCAAGAAAGTAAGGTCTGTTCATCAAATACAACGCTTTGTGTAGATAGTTTGTTAGGACTTTGGTTTACAGGGTTAATAGGAGATGAGTGGAATGACTCCCTGCCCCCAGTGACTGGTCTGCCCATCTAGGTCATGCCAATGAGCCAGGCTGGCTGTGCTGTTATTAGCAGTGCCCTGGAGTACTGCGGACTCGCCTGGCTCAGGAACTGGACTACTGAGACCACCACAGAGGGCTGGCTTGATTCCGAGTCACCTCATAGCTAATTCAGATTCAAGGAGACCCCGCTTAGTCACTCATACAACTGACCAATGTTATTTGGGAGATTGTAGGCCAAGACACCAGGAGAAACTGATCTTCATAATAATAATCCTTGCATTTGATATAGTGCCTTATCACATCTTCGAGACGTCTCAAAGCGCTTCACAGAATATACTGTGAAGTGAATTGACTATATTTTGTGGGCAAAATGTGGCAGCCAATTGTGCACATAGTGCCTCACAAACATTCGTGGATTGAGTGACCATATTTTTAAAGTGATTATTACCCCCAGAAAAGTGATCCGCCAATCGACTAACAACCGGGTTCCTACTTACTGAGGCATATGAAGTAAGGAAACTTGCCCAACGTTTTGCCCCACCCGCGAATCAAACTCAGGTCCCATCACTTGCCACGCGAATTCACAAACCACTAAGCTACAGGACTCCCCGAATAGCGCCATGAATAGTGTCACGTCCCTCGCCCTGCCTGCTCCACTATTGGTGGTCGGGCCTTCAGCCTTTCTGCCCTGACCCCCTGGAACTCCATCTGAGGTGGAGGGGCTGAAGGCGCGCTACCTTGCCTGCTCCCATGCCTCCTTCAAGGCCCATCTCAAGACCTTCCTTTTAGACTGTGCCTTTGGTCATCTTCCCTCCTCCATTCCCTTCCCTCCACCTCTCTCTGATCCCATCCCGCAGCTTGGATGTAAACCACACATTGTCATCCTTGGGACATCCTCCTGATATGAAAGGCGCTATATAAATTCAATTTGTTGCTATTGTTGCTATGAGATCTTTAATATCCACTTGAATAGTATTGGAGCCTCAACTGTGGGTCCTGAAGTGCAGCTTGAACCTACAGCCTGCTGAATCAGAGCTGAGAGTGATATCAACTGAGCCAAGCTGATAATTTATGTGACCAAAGGTAGAGCAGATCCTAAAATGATCAACCTGCTTCTCTACAGAGAAGCTTGCTCTTGTTCAGCAGAATCTGGAAACGATGCCGATCTAATTTAATAGCAAGTAAATGATTAAAAGATCAGATATGTCCCTGAACACATAACAGAAGTTTATTATTCTTATAAAAGTCGCAGATCCAAATGATAAGGAATTAAAAACCAAAAGTAATGGGCACAGATAATTGAGCCTCAGTTTCCGGAATAACACACCCACCTAATGTATTATTTATTCTCCAAGTAGTTAGCTTATCGCTGTTACTTCAGACTAGGTATTGTTTGTCGTATATTCACAATGAAGCTTTACACGTGTATTAGTAAATTTCAAGTAACAACCTTAGAAACACAGGAAAATAGGATCACGAGGAGGCCATTCAGCCCATTCAGGCTGTTCCAAAAGTTTATTACATCATGGCCAATATTTGTCTTTTTGTCACACCCCTTAACACCACTGCATCCACCTGACCATCTAAACCAGACCTTGGTTTACAGTCTCATCAAAAGGATGACACCTCTAATAATGCAGTGTTCATCCAAAGTTTGCCAAACAGTGATATCAATGGCAAGCTATGCAGTTTCAGCCGGTTAGACTCCAGCAGTATCCCAACGCACACTCTGGGGTCCCCAAGCCTTGGCCCTTGCCAACCTGCGCTTAATACTTTCCGGAATTATGTAAACAGGATGTGTCCCTCCAGGGAGAGAGTGAGCATTGCATTCCAACAATCTCTCTCTGGGATTTCCACGTGGAGATGGGACGCATGGAAACCTCAGCTCGGTTTGGGTACTCTTTAAGCAGAGTGATGGGATTTCGCATGGGTCAGACTGACCAAATAAAAATACATTTCTACGGTTGCACTGTAGGATTGGCAGATAATGTTGTCCTCTTACTCCAACCACATGAGATTGCAATTACAATTCACGATTACCCAATACATCCACAGGCTATTTATTCACTTATTGCAACTCTTAAAAAAAAAAACTTTTTGGCAATGCAGTGGAGCCGCAGTGTGTCCTGGCCGCACCCTCCCTGCGATCACACTGTGTCGGGCTCGGGTTGTGGGGTAACGAACTCACTGCCTTTGCTCCACTTTTCCGGGTTTCGCACCAATGGGCAGAGCTGCGCCCTCCCAGCGGGCGGCCGCGGAGGCAGGTGGGGGGGCGGGTTTCACGCCCAATCGGGCGGGTTTTTTTTTTTTTGGCGTTGCCCTTCGCGCGGACGACAAAGGTGTTTTAAAAAAAAAGGTCTGAAAAAAAACTTAAATCTGCAAAATGTGTTCGGCCTCGATAGACCTTTCATGACACCGGTTTTTTTTTAAAAAAAAAGCGCCGACTTAAATTGGCCGCTCAGCCACCTCGAGCGGGCGACTTTTGGGGCTACTTTTGGGCAATATTGAGCTGCTTTGGGGGCTGGTGTTTGGGCTACTCCGCTTTGCACCGAGAGAGAGAGAGAGAGAGGGGGGCAGCGGGGGCGCTGAGCCGGGAAACTCCTCAACTCAGTCACCTCTCACACCCTCAGTTATTCTCAGCGTGTGAGACCCAGAGAGAAGTTCCCGCAAATGTTTTGCAATGCACGACATGATTGCTGATGGGAACAGAGCGGGCGGGCGGGGCGGGTTGGGCGGGCTGGGCTGGGCGGGTGGGGTGGGGCGGGTTGGGCGGGCTGGGCTGGGCGGGTTGGGGCGGGTTGGGCGGGCTGTTGCAGTTGCTGCTCAGAGAGAGAGAGAGAGAGAGAGCAGCAGAAAGACAGCACAGGAGCGTCAGCTGTTAATGTAACGCTGAAGGGGTGACAGCAGACACACACCAGGCACAGAGAGGCAGAGAGAGAGAGAGAGAGAGAGGTAGGCAAAACTCTTGACAAGCCAGATCCTTGCAAATCCTTTTTCATTCGGATCAGGACAGCCTGAGGATTGAAGCGCCCCCTTCCTTTTTTTTTTGCAACTTTTTTCAGACCTGACTATTCCCTGACGAGACTATTATTTCCTGTTGATTGTATACAGTGCAATCTTGTTGATCAGGAAACAGATATTGCTTTCTTCTTGTTTTAACTGTTTGCTTCGAAAGACTAATATTACTATACACCTGAAATAATAATAATAATAATCCTCGCATTTGATATAGCGCTTTTCACGTCGGGAGGACGTCCCAAAGCGCTTCACAGTAGACACTGTAAAGTGAATTGACTGTATATTTGTGGGCGAACGCGGCAGCCAATTGCGCACAGCAATGTCCCACAAACAGTCGTAGATTGAAAATGATCAATTTATTATTGTTTTTGGTTTTTTGGAGGGATTATTATTAGGCTCTGTGTGGAGTAAGGAAACTTGCCCAAGGTTTCGCCCTCTGCCTGGAATTGAACTCAGGTCTCTCACTTGCAAAGCGAGTGCTCTAACCACTGATCATTGTGTCTGTCTCCTCCCCCCCCCACCCCACCTCCCACCACCCAAAGAATATTAAAAGTTCTCTGAGAAATTTGGTGGATTTCAATACAGTACTGCTGGAATTCAGTACAACACTGGTGGATTTCATTACCACACAAAATACAGTCAGTCCACTTTACAGGATATTCTGTGAAGCGCTTTGAGACTCAACAACGCTATATCAAATGCAAGGATTATTATTATAACACTGCTGGATTTAATTGCAAAACTGCTGGCTTTCATTATAGCATTGCCGGATTTCAATACCAGCAATGGCAGGCGAATTACTAGTGGGTAAATCTGGTCAGACTGAAGGTTGCCCAGCAGCTCAGACAGATCACCAGTGCCACAGTGATGTGGACGAGGAAATGCAGTTACTAAGACTGGATAACTTGGACGATCAGTCAGACCCCTCGTATTTGAAACCCTCGAATGAAGAGCAGGAGGTGCCCACTAAACTGTGCGGCTACCTGAACAAGCTGGGAGGGAAAGGACCGCTCAAAGGTTGCAAAACACGCTGGTTTGTGTACAACGAGAAGAATTGCCACCTGTATTACTTCCGAACCGCCCAGGATGTCAACCCGCTCGGGAGCATCGACCTGTCGCACGCTGCATTCATTTACAGCCTGGAAACCGAGGAAGGAACCTTCGAAATCAGAAGCCCAGAAAAGGATTATACTCTGAAGGTGAGTGCGATTATACAGGGGAATCGTAAGTACACTCCTGACCCTGATTTCACCGTGAACTGAGAATAGAAATTTGCACATTTGCAAAAAAGAATGTTCATTTAATTCATTCATACATTTTTTTCATGACTCGGCATTAACACATTGAGCAATTTTATTGCAGCTGCGAATTGTAGTTTCAAACCCCACCTTGGGACTTGGAACCCATACAGTCTATGTTGATGCTCTTGTGCAGCGCTGGGGGTACTAACCTTCAGATGAGAAATTAAACTGAGGTCTCAATTGCCTCTCCAGGTGGATGTTAAAGATCCCATGGGACTATTCGAAAAGAGAAGGGAATTTCTCATGCTGTCCTTGACATTTACTCATTGACATTGGTGACTTGATCTTGTTGCAACAAATTCATTTTGTGCAGTTCGGAGCAGCAGAATCTCACTGCGGCTGGCAGACCGATAGATTAGCTAGGATAGTAATAATAGTAAGACAATATCTGTGATCATTGTTTATCCAGGATATTTGTCACAGATTAAAGAAATCTACTGTGAGTACACCGGGGCATTCAATGCCAATGTCCACTGTCTCCCTCCCAGGATAAATACAATTAATATATTGTTTGAACACATCACGTCCTCATGGACAGGTGGGTTTGTATGTGAGAAGAAAAAATATTTTCAAAGGCAGACATTGACAATTAATCAGTCTATCTCGCTCATCGGAGACCCTATATTCTTTAAAATTCTCCCCTCCTCCACTATTCATAAAATTCATCCAAAACCCCACATTCTCACCCGCACTAAACTCCGCACCCCGATTACCCCAGTCCTTGCCAAACTCCACTGGCTCCCTGTCACAGAGCGGATCAATTTCAAGATCCTCACTCTGGTGTTTAAGTCCCTCCATGCCTTGGCACCCCCCTATCTCTCCAAACTCCTCTCTCCTCGCAGCACTATCTGCTGCCTCTGCTTTACTGGCTCCGACTTCCTCCTTATCCCTCGAATTCTCCACTACACCATCAGCAGCCGTGCCTTCAGTCACTACGCCCCGAAGCTATGGAACTCTCTCCCTCAATCCTTTGCCTTGCCCCCTCTTTCCCCATTTTCAGGTTGCGCCTTCCTCTTCTACGCGTCTACGGTGACCTTCCCCTTCCCCCTGGCTCGGCATCAGGCTCCACCATTGTTAAGCGCTCTGTGATGCCGGCGTGGAGGGCGCTATATAAATGCAAGTTCTTGTGAATAAACAGAGAATCACAAGATCAAAATATTGGTTTGGGTGAAGAAGGCACTTTGGGCCATCAGATCTCATCTTTCCCGAATACCCACCCTTCCCAAACCTCTCAACACATAGCAAGCTGATGTATTAAATAAGTCTAGTGTCCTGACTTCAACCATTCTTCATGGCAACCTGTTCCAGGTATTAATTGCCCACCAAGTAAAGAAAAACGTTCTGGTGTATGTACACCAGAAAGTTTGTGGTGTCCTGTAGCTCAGCAGTTAGAGCACTCGCCTTGCAAGCGAGATGCTGCCGCGTTTCACCCGCAAATATACGGTCAATTCACTTTACAGCATATTCTGTGAAGCGCTTTGAGACGTCTAAAAAACATGAAAAGCGCTATATCAAATGCAAGGATTAATATTATTATTCCATGAAGTTGCTCTTCATTGCAACTCTTAAGTTGCAACTGTAAACCCTATGTCCTTTAGTTCTGCTATCTCACTGCATCCAAATGTATTGTTTTGGGTTTACTAAGTGGGTTTTCCTTGGAGCTGAACTGACTTCAGGTGACATGTCTGACAATAGAATGGCGGAATCGAGCCAGCCCTCTGTGGCGGTTTCGATAGTCCGGTTCTTGAGCCAGTGGATCTGCAGTATTCCAGGGCACTGCTGATAACGGCACAGCCTGGCTCATCGGCAGTACCTGGAAGGGTAGACCAGTCACTGGGGGCAAGGAGTCCACTCAGCTCCTGTTAACCCTGTAAGCCAAAGCCCTAACGGATAGGGGGTCCTATCTGGACAAGCAGCGGGAAAGCTTGCCAGGCAAGCTATGCGGTTTTAGCTGGTTAGACTCCAGCAGTACTCCAACGCACATTCTGGGGTCCCAAGCCTGGCCTCTTGACAACCTGTGCCTAACACTTTACGGAATTAGGCAAGCAGGATGTGTCCCTGAATGAGAGAGAGTGTGCAGTCCATTCCAACAATCTATCTCTGGGATTTCCATGTATAGGTGGATGGAAATCTCAGTTTGGTTTGGACACCCTTAAGCGCAGTGGTGGGTTTCTGCATGTGTCAATCACCCAGCTGACCCCCCCAAAAAAAATTTGGGTTTACTTTCTCAAATCCACTAAAAATATTATATACCATTAAAAGATCAGCCACATTAAAGGTGTGGATCAGTACACATATCCTTGCAATGAAGAGGCTCAGAGAATCACAGGACAGAAAAAGTAATTTGGTCCGAGTCTTCGCTGGTGTTTCTCTTTTTAAGGCTGAAGAATTGTAGCTTTTCTAATTGTTGCTCATAGTAGCTTCATTCCTGTAATAATGGGAATGATCTTTGTTGCTATCCTCTGCATCTAGGAAGCATCTAGGAAGTCCCAGTTATGTTCCGGTAATTCTTGTAAAAGAAGAATATTTAAGGGTATAGACAGCAAGGAGTAAAGTGGGATTACGTTAGGTGGCTCAAGTGGAGAATATGTGTAATTATGATCAAACGTTGCACCGAACATGTGTGATTGGTATTGATGTCAGTCGGGACTTTGGACCCTATTGTCAGAAACATTCCTGCTGAAAATAAGCTGGGTTATCAATCTTATATTAAGTTTACTCTGTAGACATTACTTTAAATATACGTTGAAGGCACTCCTTTACTTCAACTCTAATAATCCACTCTGTTTTGGACATTTTTTTTGTTGACTGACTCCTAACCTCATCTAGCCACTGCAGTTCCAATGGGGAGGAATGCATTACAGTGCTATCCGTAAGACATCTCTTTTCCTGTAAATAATGACTAATTTCCCATTCCAACCACAATACTGAATTCCAACTCCCATTGACGCAACAAATGCCAGAATCAACAAGTTATTATTATGTTGCCTACTCCCTCAAGTGATATAAAACATGATTCGACTTGCACAAAAAAGTGTTTTATGATGTTTACAGTACAAATAATATTTAAATGTTGGGGGCATTTTTGGCGCTGGCTTGTAACGAACAATTTCAGGACAGATACCAGGGAGTTTTTCTCCATGTAGGAAGAAGGTAATCAATGATTAGAATAGGTTGTCAGGAAGTGTGGATGCGGCAAAGAGACAGGACTCGTTTAAAAAGCAGCTTGATACTGTGATGGGGGGGATGGTAGAATGGGCGTTCTGGAGGGATGAGATCAGAATGGGCTGAAGGCCTTCTTCATCCAAACCAAACTTGTGATTTTGTGACACAAATTATGAGTAGCAGTCCTGCTTATCCTTCTGGCAGTGAGTGTCAGCAGGTTGCTCCAGGTCTGGACATTCCCTTTATGTCCTGATGATCAGAACTGTATGGTGTACTACTCTAGGTGCATCCTAATGGCATTAGTCCAGTGGCATTTAGGTATACCTCAGAAACTGCAATTATACATAGCATTGCTGCAATACGCATTCATAAACAAACGGTTGTCCTCTCACATTGAACAATAAAACCACACAACATCTTTGTTACAACACCACTCCTCATTGCTTAGCATCATTGCCTTGCAGAAAGAGCTAAGCTTCTTTTTAAAACTTGTCTCTAACAGTAGATGTAGGCTAATGAATGATATGTTGCATAGCCTTCAAAACATTGCACTACTTAGTGTGGCCTGTGGCAGCAAACCTCTGAGTGTTTATTTCAGATATGGACAAATCGCAGTGTGGTTGGGGCTTGAAACGGAAACATACAGGAAAGATTAAAGGAGTCGAAACAGGCCATTGGATTGCAGGCTACATTTAAACTGCTACATCCACTAAAAGCATGAAACTGCTGTTTACTCTATAACTTCAGTTAAATATAGCTTTAGAAACAAAACCACTGAAATTAAAGAATATGCAATCAGTCTGAGCAAATCCTTGAGTATGGAGGTGTGTGTGTGGTGGGGCGAACAACTATATTTGTAGCTTTAAAAACATAGAGTTAGTATTGCAAATTCGTATTTTAAAACGCAGCACACGTATAAATGGAAATGTAGCTGGACCCTTGGGGTTTTTTTTGGTTGTGACTTTATCAACTCTGATGGGAACACATTGATCTGATTCTGTTAATGTGTTATTGATTGTGGTTTCAGCTTTTAACAAATTTTTTAATGTGTTTTAATGCATTCTTTCTCAAGCTCACATTGGCAAGGTTGGTAAGCTATACTGACAATAGAGAATTCACCCTTGTGATGTGCTGATGTTTTGTTCATTCTATTTCCCTCTACACCACCCCCCCTTTCTTTCTGAGTGTAGTGACTTATCCTGAGAGTTAATCCACTGGCACTTGAAATGCAAGGAACAGCACACAAAAAGTAGATTTATGAGGCACAGGTGGTCAAACGACTGTTTGTGGGACACTGCTGTGTGCAATTGGCTGCCACGTTTTGCCCACAACATGTACTGCCAATTCACTGTACAGTGTATTCTGTGAAGCACTTTGAAACATCAAAAAGATGTCATAAGGCACAACAACAAAATTACACTTGTATAGTGCCTTTCACGTCGGGAGGACGTCCCAAGCGCTGGACAGTCAGAGTTTTGGACCCGAGCTTGGGGTCAGGATTGGGGAGGGTAGAGCGCAGGGGGTAAGCAGGGTGATAGAAAGCACGGTCGAAGAGAAGGGTCTTGAGATGGGTCTTGAAGGAGGCAAGGGAGGAGGCGAGGTGGAGGGACTGTGGGATGTCATTTGTCACTTTGACCAAAGCTGTTTCTGTGAGGTGGGCGGCACGGAAACACGATTGGAGGGATTGGTGGGAGAAGAAGGAGTGAAGCTGGGAAGCAACAACTTGTTCCAGG